ATTATATATATAGGTCAGTATTGCTATGTATTGTTCACTTCATGTATTAAATATCATTCTTGTGTTCATTTAGTGAAAAATGTTGTGGGAAACATGCCTTGATTATTTGAACTAAAGCTTCTTCTGGCAACAATGACTGTTTGGTTGAAAAGACGGTACTAAAAAGAGTTTCAGAGCAAATGCATAAATATTGGAGATGAATACATATTTCAAATATCATCAAAAGTCTTAAAAATATTAAGTTTTTTTTTTTTTAAGTCTGAGAAATGAATGACTTTGTGACTGATTTGCCCAGCGCTGTAGATCCAGTGAGAGTGATTCGATCACAGCAGGAGTTTTGCAATAAGGACACTAAAGTATACATGAATTTAGATGCAATCATGCAAATGAATGTGCATTGAGAGTCCTCTCAATGAGAAACAAAATCAGTAAAATCATTTCACTGATCTGCCACCATTTCAGCATCTCATTAAAGGCCAGAAACATACGCTACACATAGTACACTGCCAGTGATGCAAGTGCAAGAACACTGCAGGACTGAAGGGGGCGATAGAGTTTCCATCAAATGTCTGTAAGTGACTGAAAAAAAGATTCCTTATCTGGAAGAGAAAACTGAGCATTGAAGAAGGCAGTTTACAGCAATGGCAGCTTGAGTGACGCTTGCAGCAACACTGAAACCGTGACTCAAACTTGCATGGCATGCATACGAATGATGTGCATACGAAATATAATGCAGAGCTAGAAGAGACTGTGTTCATGTTCTTGTATATAGTATGTTTTGGGCCTCAGAACCACAAGTGATTGTGTTTTTAGGGAGACGTTTGTACAAAATGCAAAGTGGAAGACAGCACTATGCAAGTAAAAGAATGAAATGTCACATAATACTTTAAAAATAAATCAACACTTTTTGCCATCTTCACAGTACAGTGACATCATCTCTCATGCATGATTTCCAGAGACGAACATCAGCTCTAATCCAAACCCTAGTGAGTGACCTCCCTGTTTACATTAGAGATAGAAATGAAATACTCATGAGCTGAAACAAAACTCCACAACAGTAAGCCAACAGCTCAACATCCTGGACACAAAAATACAAGAATCTTTCCAAAAACTCACGAACGCCTCAAAAAATAAAGATTTGATAAATGCATGTTAATGGGTGCACATGCATGTTCATCTACATGTATGCTATGGGATCTTCTGCCAATCTGCTGGATGATAAAACATGATGAAAAAGGTCAGACCAACTGCAACATCGTTGTCTAGCTGGGCAGCTCACTGGGTTTAGGATCAGAGCTCATGTTTCTGCTTCTACCGTCATTATGCTAGAAACACAGAACATCCAAAAACAAACCCTACAAGATCCTCAATCATCCTGTAGAGTCCAGCATTCAGTGTGTGTCGTGTTTTCTCAGTCAAGTCAATATTCTTAACTACCATCACACATTTATAAACTCACCCTGCAGCTCTAATGATCTGTGGGCAGCTGCTAAAACTCACTCCTCCCACATAAAAATGAAGCGAAAGATGCCGTTCTAACTCCACGCTCACGTCACGTCAGAATTACTGCATGAGATCCGAACACCGACACGGAAATGATGCGCTTCTAGAGCAACGATGAGTTTAATGATGTTTAATTTGTCTTTAGCTCATTTTCAGACGTATAAACTGTCCTGCATTAAATGAAATATCAATCGAGAACCAGAGGTGAATTAACCTTCTGGGTTTTGACGTCGCTGCTGCAGCACTCTTTGCTGTAGGTACCAAATGACCAGTTTTGGTTTTTACACAAGTCAGAGCTTTCATAATTTGCCAGTTTCCTGTAAAAAGTCCATCCAGTGCATCAGAATATGCATATTTTCCTACTGTAAAACAGTATCTGAAATGAGTAGTATGCTAAAAATCGTAAAACAGTAGGCAAAAAGTACCTGGATGACCTTCTGCTTGTGGACACTTTACTATCCCATGAGGCCACGGCAGAGTAATTTTGAACGGCACTAAAACCACGCTAAGCTGGTTTCATCTGGCCAGAGGAGAACTGGCCCCCGACTGAGTCTGGTTTCTCCCAAGGTTTTTTCTCCATTCTGTCACCGATCGAGTTTTGGTCGTCTTTGGCTTGCTTAGTTTGGGACGCTTGACTGATTGCACAGAAACTATTGGAAGAGAGCTAAACTGGATGATGACATCTTTGCTATTGTCCTCTTGCATTACTGACAAACTATTTTCCTGTTGACACTGTAAAGCTGCTTTGACAGAATCAGTATTGCATAAAGCGCTATATGAATAAAGGTGACTTGACTTAAAGCGGTGCAACTGACACCACAGATAACAACATGAAGTACGTCCACATCCACACACTGATATACAAGAACAAGGAAAGTACACATTCCTCATCAAAATGTAGTACTTAGACACTATCAGATTTCAGATGCACTTCTTGTCTTGTTCAGTTTTTTGTCTCGTTTCCCAGTACAAGCATCGAAACATCCTTTGGGAAAACATGACAACCTAAATTTAGTAAAGTTTATGCTTTAAACAAGACAATTTGCCAACAATTTTCTCTTGAGAAAAAAAAGGCATATCCTCCACAGTGTTTCAAGATGCTTTTAGAAGAATATGACTTTCTCAACCACGATACTCAAAATGGCAGTAATTTCGACATGAACGCAGCATCATACGGCACCTTTCCGCATTTAAACATGTCATGTGCTACACACTCAGTGTCACCTAAAGACCGCTACACACTCCAGCTGGTGAGGTTCTTAGTCTGTTTTTGCCTATGAATGAATGAACTGAATGTTCCAGAACATTCTACGCTACTCCATGACTACTGCATCTCCTCCGAGGCGTCCAGTGTAATGCCCTGAAGAAGAAAAGACACTGTGTTGCTGTGGCTTTGAGCTTTAGCTGGTCAGTAGCACAACAGGAAACAGGTTTGTGTCATTCGAGACATACAGTACATGGAGACGAGTTCACGGAAGAGACCAACACTGTCCCATACCTGGACCGAACCGTGCATTTCATCTGTTCTTACGGCAGCCAGAACCTACAGTCTGGTTGCACGTCTTGGTGCCAACGAGGGACGCATCCCTCTCAGTTTCCTCACTTGTTGCTTCAATCCAAGGATCGAATCCGTACAGGCACCTCCCATCTTTATTCCGGACCGTTTGGCTCCCCAGTACTAAACTCCCAGTGCTGTTGCACTTCTTGGCCAGCGGCGGCGCCAGCGAATCAGGCGGGTGCAGAGACGTCAAAGAGTAGCTACTCAGATTATCCGATAACTGTTCCGCATTACCAGCCTGACCGGTTCCTCCAGCCCTAAACCCGGATCCAGTGTCCTCATCGGAGGGGTCCTGTCGGATCCAGTTAGGATTTGTGCAGTCACTGTATCTGCTCCGATTCCTGTGGCGCCCCCTGGTGGCCTGGAGATTGAGCAGAGTCTGTGGAGTGCGGGATCTCTGGCTGAGTTCTGGAGGAGGGACGTGGGTTCTGCAGATCAGGGGTAGCGTAGAGACACCCTCCTCCAGCATGGTCTGCAGGCTGCTCACCGAGCTGCCCGTGGCCAGCGAGGAGTTACTGTGGGACGTCTGCAGCAAGAAGTGAAAAGAGAGTCAGGAAAGAGAAACAAACCTAGATCTGGACATGAGAGGGCTTAGTGATCTGCAACTGTACATTTTCTGTCTGCAACTGCCACAGAAAATTGGCAAAACTGATTGGTGGGGTTTGCCCAACCTACGGGAGTCAAGGGTGCACCAGTCCACCTAGAAATCAGGTTTACACAAGTGTGCCACACAAGTCCTGAAAAGTGAAGCCAAAACATTTCGATTGCCCCAAGTGGCTGGACCCAGTACAGGTCGTAAATGTAATCTAATGGCACGTGAGACAAACTAAATAATCAAATTACACTTCAAATAAATGTTTTCCAAAGATGGTTTCCATCATTTTAGGTAGTTCTTAGCATGGTGATGTATATATAAGTGTTCGTTTTTTTAATAAGTTTGATTTTAGTTAGTTATTTGATGCTGTAAAAACGGGCTGTGGTGTCATGATTGTGAGCTTGTGATTGGGTCTGCGGGAGTTTGGGCGGGACTTTGATACCGCGGCTCCACCTCACGATCACTACTGCGCAGACTCTGGCTCCAAATTAATGACTAATGCACAGACTCTGGCTCCAAATGACAATTTCCACAGCGGCCATACTGAGATGTTTTGACTTCACTTTTCTATAGTGGAAGGAAGTGGAGCCAGTTAGTAGCAAGTAAACTAGATATCAAGCCTATTGGATAAAGGTGGGCTCCCGTCAAATTTCAAAACAGGCGATGTTGTAGAATCAGTGGGTGGAGCTAAACAGGCAGTGTTGTAGAATCAGTGGGCGGGGCTAAACAGGCTGTGCTGTAGAATCAGTGGGCGGAGCTAAACAGGCAGTGTTGTAGAATCAGTGGGCGGGGTTAAACAGGTTGTGCTGTAGAATCGGTGGGCGGGGCTAAACAGGCAGTGTTGTATAATCAGTGGGCGGGGCTAAACAGGCTGTGCTGTAGAATCGGTGGGCGGGGCTAAATGTAGAAGCAAGCATTGATCTTCTGCGGAGGAGGGGTTTATCCACACTATTACATCATAAAGTGGCACATTCCACAAGCTGTCATTTTGGCAGACTGGCTTCAATATAAGCTGTTTTTAGACTAACGAGTTCTGAAACTTACAGGATGTTTGTATAGTACAATGATCTCTTACATGTCAAAAGCTCAAGGAAATTCTGATTTCTCAGTCTATGACCCCTTTAAGTGGATGACTGTTGGCCAGAATAAGCTGCAAAATGGGACTTACTTAATGTCTGAAGTCAAAGTCTGTCTACCTGAGGCCCCTTCATCCTTATGTTCCTTATGGGTGTATCCAGACACTTGACTGTAAGTCTTGATTGAGTTTGAATGGGCATCTCTTACCTGAGAGCCCATGACCCTGCTGTTGGCCCCTGGGGACCTGAGCGAAGCCCATGATGCGTGTCTGGAGCCCGGCTGGGCCGCTCCGATGGCTGGGCTGCCCTGGGGAACCGCAGCGGTGGTGGGGTGGAAGAACTCAGCCGGGAGATGAAAGAGAGGTGAAGACATCTGGCCGTCTCCTCCACAGCCATCTGCCACACACAAACCATCAGCCCGTTTCAGAAGAACACAACAGGTGTTTTTACACTCCAGCTTCTTGTGCGAGTTAGGCTACGTCTTCATTAATCCGAATACATTTGAAAATGGTGTTTTCGTTTTAAAACGCTCTCTGTCCACACTAGCATTTTCAAGCGTTTTACAGAAGTTTCTCTTCCACACTGAAACGTCAAAAAACGTTAAATTAGTTAAAAAAAAGCTCACTGAGACGATATAGACGGAACAGACATGATACTTTTTCATGCAGTTCTTCTGACAGGATTATTTTATTTAGAAAAATATCTCGCCATTCACTGACGCGTTCAGGTCGCACTCACTCACGATTGTATATCTGATCTAAAACACAACTGCCCTCACGTTTTGCCGTAAACAGCAATCGCAAATCAATTTACTGTCATCTTCGCAGGACTGTGATATGAAGAGTATACAAAGTAACACATCTGTAGCAATAGTTTGAAAGTGAATAGCACATAACAGGCACAATACCGGTATAAACATAGATATATATCGATATAATATGCATCACATGACTAAACATGCATCATCGTTTTCAAAAGCCTGTTTTCATGGTCCACACTACAATGCAAAAATTGATTTTTAAAATTTTTGGAAAACTCTTTTTTCAAAATGCTGTTTTCCTTGACAAAAACACCATCTGATGCAAGGCCAAAACAGAGAAAAAGATGCATTTTCAAACAAAAACGTATTAGTGTGGACAAGGCCTTAGTTTAACATTCATTTAGATGTGTAAAACTACAAATGTGACCCTGCAGCACAAAAGCAGTCTTAAGTCGCTAGGGTATATTTGTAGCAATATCCAACAATACATTGTATGGGTCAAAATTATAAATTTTTCTTTTATGCCAAATCAAAAATGTTCCATGAAGATATTTTGTAAATTTCCTACTGTAAATATATCAAAACTTAATGTTTGATTAGTAATATGCATTGCTAAGAACTTCATTTGGACAACTTTAAAGATGATTTTCTCAATATTTAGACTTTTCTGCACCCTCAGATTCCAGATTTTCAAATAGTTGTATCTCGGCCAAATATTGTCCGATCCTAACAAACCATACATCATGGGAAGATTATTTATTCAGCTTTCAGATAATCTCAGTTTCAAAAAATATACCCTTATGACTGGTTTTGTGATCCAGGGTTGTGGGTTTCCATTAACACAGTTTTACCACGCAACTTTATATAAAAATTTTTTAAAAAGTTTGTCAAGACAAACTTTGATGTTGGCTCAAACCAGAAAGCTTTAATAGCTCAAACTTTAACTGTTTTAAGGCCATCCAGTCTCTCAGACAACCAGACAGACAGATTTTTAGGTGTAAGTGTAAGAACACATCGAATGTAATCGGCCCTTCAGAGAGCAGAACACACAGATGGGGCCTGACCTCCGCGGTGCCCCATCTCATGCCGCT